CCTCTCACAGTCAGACACCCTCTCACAGTCAGACACCCTCTCACAGTCAGACACCCTCTCACAGTCAGACCACCCTCTCACAGTCAGACCACCCTCTCACAGTCAGACACCCTCTCACAGTCAGACACCCTCTCACAGTCAGACACCCTCTCACAGTCAGACACCCTCTCACAGTCAGACATCCTCTCAGTCAGACATCCTCTCACAGTCAGATACCCTCTCACAGTCAGACACTCTCTCACAGTCAGACACCCTCTCACAGACACCCTCTCACCGTCAGACACCCTCTCACCGTCAGACACCCTCTCACCGTCAGACACCCTCTCACCGTCAGACACCCTCTCACCGTCAGACACCCTCTCACCGTCAGACATCCTCTCACAGTCAGACATCCTCTCACCGTCAGACACCCTCTCACAGTCAGACATCCTCTCACAGTCAGACATCCTCTCACAGTCAGACATCCTCTCACAGCCAAGTCCCCTCAGACTCCCGAATGTCAGCCAGACCCGAATGTCCTGTGTGTGCTGGGGAGGGGCAGGGCTTGTGCCAGACACTGCCTGACACCAGGGAGTTGGGTCATGGAAATGACCCCCTCTGCTGGCCCTCAGTGTCTGCACAGGAAGGAACCCTGAACCAGACCCATCTCTTATTCTAGGAGTGAGGGCCAACCGGTTAGTCAGCAATTCTCCAAGGTCTCAGTGTATGCTAAGAAGTTCTACTTCCATGCCCAATGCCCCCACTCATCTCAGGACAGGGACAACTGACCATACAGAAAGCCAGTCTTACAAGAGCTGGGCCTTGACCCCTCTGCACAAAGGAAGTGGCAGCTGGGGTGGGCAGACTAGAGGGGCTTGAGTCGTACCAGTCCTGGGTGTTTTCTGCAGGGTCTGCACCTCAATGCCAGATCAATACACCCCAAAGGAACGAGTACTGTCCTGTCTAAAAGGTACAAAGCCCCTCACCCACCCACCCACCAAAAGTCCTCGCAGGGAATTGCACCACGTAATGTGGGCACCTCCGGTGAGGGGCTCATGTGTAGATGCTTCCAGTGAAGGTCACACCATGTGACGCAGACGCCGCCAGTGGGGGTCACAACATATATGACGCAGACGTTTCTGGTAAGGGTCACAACACATGGTGCAGGTGCTTCTGGTCGAGGTCAGAACATGTGTGCAAGTGCTTCTGATGAGGAGCCGAGAACCACTGTGCTAGCACAAGACCCAGAGTTGAGCAGGGATGTGCCCATGAAGCCGGTGGCCCTGGGTTAGATCACAGAACTGAAAAACCATACCCAGGGGCTCTAGGCCTCCCAGGCTCACCTGCCTTTGTAGAGAAGATGTCACCATCTGTAACTGAACTTCATCTCATCCACAGGTATCCTGTCCAGTCACCTTTCCAGAGTCAGTCTCTAGATAACAAACCCCCTTCTGTACACAATAGTACACAAGCTTCCCAGCCCACGGCCTTTCAGAATTTCCACTTCCCAGTCCACGGCCTTTCAGAATTTCCACTTCCCAGCCCACGGCCTTTCAGAATTTCCACTTCCCAGTCCACGGCCTTTCAGAATTTCCACTTCCCAGTGCACAGTCTTTTAGAATTTCCACTTCCCAGTGCACAGTCTTTCAGGATTTCCACTTCCCAGTCCACAGTCTTCAGGATTTCCACTTCCCAGTCCACAGTCTTTCAGGATTTCCACTTCTCAGTCCACAGTCTTCAGGATTCCCACTTCTCAGTCCACAGCCTTTCAGGATTTCCACTTCTCAGTCCACAGTCTTCAGGATTCCCACTTCTCAGTCCACAGTCTTCAGGATTTCCACTTCTCAGTCCACAGTCTTTTAGAATTTCCACTTCCCAGTGCACAGTCTTTCAGAATTTCCACTTCCCAGTGCACAGTCTTTTAGAATTTCCACTTCCCAGTGCACAGTCTTTCAGGATTTCCACTTTTCAGTCCACGGTCTTCAGGATTTCCACTTCTCAGTCCACAGCCTTTCAGGATTCCCACTTCTCAGTCCACAGTCTTCAGGATTTCCACTTTTCAGTCCACAGTCTTCAGGATTTCCATTTCCCAGTCCACAGCCTTTCAGGATTTCCATTTCTCAGTCCACAGTCTTCAGGATTTCTACTTCCCCAGTCCACAGTCTTCAGGATTTCCACTTCGGTCCATAGTCTTTCAGGATTTCCATTCTCTAGACCACAGCCTTTCAGCATTTCTACTTCATTCATGTGTCTGTGCACACCCGTCACCAGTACTACCAAAGAAGCTCTGCTTCTGCAAGGCCTCTGGAAATTTTCCAGAAGCACAGTAAACAATGTCTAAATGCTAATCCTCCCAAATACTTAGGCCAAGGATCCACATGTGCACCATTTTATATGTTCTTTTGAGAAACTCAACAATAAAAATGTTGGTAAGGTTTTAGAAGGATTTACCAAGAGGTAAGTGAACCTTCACAGAGGTCCTTCCCCTGCTCCTCAAGCATGAGCAGGACGCAACGCCACAACCCACCACCCCAACATCAACCACCTGACCCTTCCTACCTGGAAGCCCCGCCCCCACTTGAAGCAAACGCCTTCCCCATCCTGAGTGTGCCTAGATCACCAACCCCTATGCCTCCTCCAGCTCAGAAGTCACCCCAGCTCCCTAGTTGCTAAGAGGAACACCACACAGTGCACAAGGGCCCGGCACCCCAATACTACTTGTATAAAAGCTCTAAACAAGCAGAAAATACTACCTAGAGAGGAATTCCTCAAAAGTAAGTATGCCCCAGCAGAGCAAAATCCAGCCAAGCTTACCACCTCACAAGCAGTGTGACAGCCACGTGAGAGCCACACTCATTTCACAAGCAGTGACAGCCACGTGAGAGCCACACTCACCTCACAAGCAGTGACAGCCACGTAAGAGCCACACTCATTTCACAAGCAGTGACAGCCACGTGAGAGCCACACTCACCTCACAAGCAGTGTGACAGCCACGTGAGAGCCACACTCACCTCACAAGCAGCTGTGACAGCCACGTGAGAGCCACACTCACCTCACAAGCAGCTGTGACAGCCATGTGAGAACCACACTCACCTCACAAGCAGTGACAGCCACGTGAGAACCACACTCACCTCACAAGCAGTGTGACAGCCACGTGAGAGCCACGCTCACCTCACAAGCAGGTGACAGCCACGTGAGAGCCACACTCACCTCACAAGCAGGTGACAGCCACGTGAGAACCACACTCACCTCACAAGCAGGTGCGACAGCCACATGAGAGCCACACTCACCTCACAAGCAGCTGTGACAGCCACGTGAGAGCCACACTCACCACCTCACAAGCAGGTGTGAGAACCACACTCACCTCACAAGCAGGTGCGACAGCCACATGAGAGCCACGCTCACCTCACAAGCAGGTGTGACAGCCATGTGAGCCACACTCACCTCACAAGCAGGTGTGACAGCCACATGAGAACCACACTCACCTCACAAGCAGTGTGACAGCCACATGAGAGCCACACTCACCTCACAAGCAGGTGACAGCCACGTGAGAACCACACTCACCTCACAAGCAGGTGCGACAGCCACATGAGAGCCACGCTCACCTCACAAGCAGGTGACAGCCACGTGAGAGCCACGCTCACCTCACAAGCAGTGTGACAGCCACGTGAGAACCACACTCACCTCACAAGCAGGTGTGACAGCCACGTGAGAGCCACACTCACCTCACAAGCAGTGTGACAGCCACGTGAGAGCCACGCTCACCTCACAAGCAGCTGTGACAGCCACGTGAGAGCCACACTCACCTCACAAGCAGTGTGACAGCCACGTGAGAGCCACGTGAGGGCCCAGCTCACTGCTCCTGAGCAGCTGTAACAGGCAGGTGAGTAACAGGACACTGAACAGCCAGGCTCACCACTGTGCGAGCAGGTGAGAGCCCCATGACAGCCAGGGGACACTGTCAACCGATGCCCGTACCACCGCTGCCTCCAGCCAGAGCCCGAGCCCGTGGTGTGCCCTCTAACTACTCTCCCTCCCAAACTCCTTCATGCTAATCTTCTCTTCCTAACCACTTCACTGAAACTGTTAAGTTGGTGCTCCATTCTGCTCTGGAGTCTCTGAACTAGGTTTTATCTTACACAT